TATATAAAATATATTAGATAATTCATATTATATGAAAAACTATAATTTAAATTTAGCTCTACATAAAAGTGTAGACATTAAATTTTAGTCCAACTTCTGCCTCTTAGGCTCTTTTGGCTTGCTCAAAGCTTCTCCTAGCATCCACCTCAGTTCAGTTTGTTTTTCTCACTTACTACCTGTATCAGTATATTTATTTAGGTTTATATTTCTTTGCGTATTTCTTTTCAGTTTTTATTTCGTATGGCCTGTCCGCTGAGTCTCTGTGTGTGTGTGTGTGTGTCGAGAGGAGCTGCGTGTGTTTTGCTCGCTGGCGCGTTGACATTGCCATCAAAATGCTTTGACGTGGTTTTTGATTGACAGGAAACTCATAAATAATTCATGTCATTAAATCATGTTACATTTTTTCTCTTCTTTCAGCTTTCCAGCTTCATCTTCTGCAGCCGCAGCAGCAACATCTTCAGCTCCTCCAGCTGCGTGGCTGCGGCTAGCGGGCTGAGGGCAGCCGCGAGTCCATTGAAACGGGTTTTCCTGGAGCAAAGTGGTGGACGGCGCATTGCTGGACATTTAGCGAGGCTCTGGCCAAGCTCTATGCGCAAGAGCTAGCAATTAAATGTCAAGACTGTTTCCCTAGTCTTGGCCCTCTCTGCGCCCTCCACGCGCCCTTCCTCACGCATCTTCTTGATGTAACTGTAACTCAATTCAGTGGGCACTCGAATTTTTTAATATTTCTTGCTGAAAAACTTGAAGGAAATAAGTTTTCAATGAATATAATTATGCAAAGCAGCTGTTGCCTCCTTCCATGCGCCCCTGCCCCCTGCTCGCTCAGTGGGTGGGCTCGGACCTTGGAAGGCGCTAAAAAACGCATTAAAATTACCAGAAATGACGTAGATGACAAAAAAAACAAAAAACAGAAAAAAATTTAGAAAATGTTGATATGAAAGCAGCTTGGGCATATTTAAATAATTCCAGAGCCCAGTCCCCAGCACCCAGACCTCAGACTCCCTGTGACTCCCAAGCTTGCTGTCATAATATTTTCATATTATTTTTCGCTTGTTTTAATTTCTTGTAGCAAGATTTCATATATATTTTTTTGTTGCTTTTCCCGTCATTTTCCTTAGATTTGCTGTCAATTGTCCTTCAGCGCGTCTGAAGGCAAAAGTTTTTAATTTTTATCAAAGATTTTCGGCGCAGTTTTTAATGAAATTTCTGCTGCTGCTGTTGCTGGTCTGCCAAAAAGGATTCTCCTGCTTGCTGCGCGCATAATTTGCATAAATTTCTTTCATATTTTTTTTTTTTTTTTTTTTTTTTTTTTTTGTATATTTGTTCCGCTCGCCATTGGCAGCGGCAGCCATTTTTAATTTGTGAGTGTCCTTTAAGGAAACTTCTTCAGCAAGTTTTAATTAAAGTAATTTATGAGCTTGCTCTGATCGCTGCTGCTGCTGCTGCTGTTTACTTTAAGCTGGCAAATCATTTTAATTGCTTTGCGATTTCTCTTCTTTTCGGTGCCACGCCCACTCGACAGTGTCTGCCTTTGTTGTTTGTGCGGCGATAATAATTACACGTCACGCTGCCACGCAATCAAAACATTATTTGTGCAAAATCACGCAGCTGAACTGAAGCGGAAGTGATGAAGGACTCCAGGACCTATGTACAGGACTTATTGGCTGCACGCGTCCTCGCGTCGTCGACGAGGAACAAAAACCAAAAGCCAACAGCAAAACAAAAAAGTTTAAACAATTTTTGTTGCCTTCCCATAAGCCACACCCCAGTGTCTAGGCTGACGTTCAACTCTCAACTCTCAACTCCCAACTCTCGAATCTCGAATCTCAGTCTCTGCCCCTGGGGCCGGCACCTCACGCGTGTTAAATTCAACGCAGCGCGTGCGGTCACGTGGCCGATGGGCGGCCGGGCGGGTTGCCACGCCCACAGCCATGATAGTCGCAATCGCTGTGCTGAGATTTTTCATCAGTCACTCGCTGATTTCTCATCAAGCACCAATCAACAAATGGCAGCGGGGAAACAGAAATCGCAGCACAAAATCGACGAAAATTATGTAAATTGTTTTCCATTTTTGTGGTCGCCGAGCGAAAAAGGATAAACGAGTGCGAAAATTTGCCTAAATGCTTGACAGCCAGCTGTGCCAGGACTGGCAGGACTAGCAGGACATGCCAGCAGGCCAGCCAGCCAGTGCAGCAGCAGCGGCAACAACTCCAAACTGTTGCACGCAAAACAATGTGACAGAAACATATGTTGCCGCAATCAACAACAGCGAAAACCCCCAAAACCCTCGAGCCATGTGCAAATGTATGCGCAACCCTTTGACAGATTGACAACAGCTGAAATTCACAATTGACTGTCGATATTAGGGATTTACGAGAGAGATAGAGAGTGAGAGACTCAGAGTGAGTGGTACGATGGTATGGAACACTCCAATGAGTTAACTTAGACGAGAGGAATGGAGAATGGTAAGTAGGCACGGTGGCTTTTGCTTAAGCGAGAGGAAGAAAAATGGAATAGATGGAGTTTTGCCTATCTTTCAATAAAAAACCTGCAGTGGAATCAGAGTATGCAACAATAAATAAAAATAATTACTAAGATCTCTAAGATCTCTAAGATCCATAGATGAAAAAAAAAAAAAAAAAACAAATATAATATACGACAAAATTATAATAATTAATAAGAAATAAT